TTTACGGCAGAAGTCTCTAGTCATCTCCCTACTCGACAAGATAAAATCGACTTCTATCATGGAGAAAAGGGTAACTAGTATCGGCGCATTACGGCTAAGCGAGCGAAGTCGCTTAGCTTGTGCGACACTAAAACTCAAACCAGAACTTTGTAGGAAAAAATGCGCTCCCTCCATAGCAGATAAGTGGCTCGGAATGTTTCGCAGTACGAAATTATGCTTGCGTTTAATTCGTTCCTCAGTTTCCGAACTTATTACCCCAATAAGTTTAAAAGCTTGTTCAAGCACTTTTTCAGAAGTGCTGTCTATGTCGCCATAAATCAGCTGATCGATTATTTCGCCGGCCGATGGCCTGCTACGACTAGCAGAGGCGTATTTTTGGACGACTGAAGGGTCGAGAGGTTCTACATGTACTAAAGGGATTTGTGAGTTAATCAGATCTGCAGACGGCGAAGAACATACGCTGGCGTCTGCCATGTCTTCAGTCACGATTTTAGCACCCAGAGACGGTGGGGAGGCCGCAAGCTTTCGCCTTTTAGCACGTGCTCTGCGGGGCATTACAGACAAAAAAGTTTTTCGTTACAGAAGAAGGATCAAAACGGAAACACGCACTGAGTAGCAAGTATTACTGTTTTTTTACTACGAAAACTAGAAAGCGGTAGTAGGGAAAGGATTCACTACAATGGATTTTTTACAAAATACGACTATTTTGCCAGACTGTCAAACAAACTGGGAAAAAATTTTACCTTATATAGAAAGGCGACTTTTAAAACGGACTCAAGTCAAAAACAGGCATTAATTACTTAAGAATGTCCAGATAAATGCAGAGCTTCACTTATCTTTGAAATTGAGCTGCGCGCCTTGACCTTGACCTAAATCCCCTGGTCCGGACGGCGTGTACGCAAAAGTCCTGAATGAATTCTCCGACTAACTGGCCTCTCCGTTATTCAGGATCTTCAGAACTTCTATGGAGACCGGGGCTTTGCCTTCCGACTGGAAGAAAGCAAAGATAAGCCCCATATATAAGGGTGGCAAGAGAACAGCCCCAAATAATTTCAGACCAGTGAGTCTCACAGGCATCTGTTGAAACTTGATGGAAAAAGTAATAAAAACGGAGCTGATGCGGCACCTTAAAAAAAAACAACTTGCTCAGTATACATCAGCATGGATTTCGAAGGGGTCGATCCTTTCTCTCTAACCTGCTAGTATCCATAGAGAGCTGGACGAAATAAATTGACATGGGCTTATCAGTCGATGCCGTGTACATTGACTTCAAAAAGGCTTTTGACAGTGTTCCACACAGACGACTTATATGTAAACTACATCAAGTGGGTATGAGTGGAAATCTGTTGAAAGGTTAGCCGATTTTCCTACGGGCAGATCTCAGCGTGTGTGCATCGGAAACGCTAAATCAGAATGGGCATTCGTCCACAGTGGTGTTCCGCATGTGAGCGTTCTGGGTCCAGTTCTGTTCTTAATATATGGGAACGACTTCCTGGACTGTCTGAACTGCGATCGCGTAATGTTTGCCGATGATTCCAAATCGTGGAAATTAATAGAGAGGCCGGAAGACTCTGCACAGTTACAAGACAATCTGGATAGCTTGCAGCAATGGTGTGATGAGTGGTGTCTTAGCCTCAATCGGAACAAATGACAACTTATCCGATTACGTTCGAGCAACAGGAGACTGTTGATATCTGAAACTCAGTACTTAATAGGAGGTCATCAACTCGAATCCGTCAACCAGTTAAGAGACTTCGGTCTTTGGATGACGTCAACTATCAGACCATCGTCGCACTGCGCCAAAGTTTTAAAGAAAGCTATGGGTATCCTACGTGCGATTAGAAGATCCATCCTCAATTTTGACGAAGATCTTTTCGGGAGGGTTTTCGGCAGATTTGCTCGACCAATGCTGGAATAGTGCGTTTAGGCATGGTAACCCTGGACGAAACAAGACTACACCCTACTGGAGAACGCACAACGAAGAGCGACCAAGCTAGTCGGCGGATTAAGTAGCTTACCTTATGAGAGATGTCTAAAAAAAGATAAAAATATTTCCTCTCTCTCATAGACAATACAGAGGGGATATGATCGTGGCCTTCCGGATTGTCCGATGACTAGACTGTGCTCTTCAGTTTGACGATATCTTCGAACTGGTGCGGGCGACAAATCTTCGAAGGCACAAATACAAATTAGAGACAAAATATGCCAAACTCGAATCGGGGGCCAAATTCATCTTCCACTGGCCCGTTGAGGAATGGAAAAAAATGCCGAACTCCGTTGTCTTAGCGGAAAGCGTTGAGGCCTTTATGGAAGACTAGATAAATTTATGCTTGATGGTCAAACATTTTTTCAGTTTATTCAGTTTATTTTAGTTTATTTGGTAATGATAATAGGCAAAGCCTTTGAAAACCCTATTGATTACATGTCAGCTCGTTAGAAATAACTGTACAAGAACGGAAAATATTCGCTATTAAAACAGTACTTAATTCATTTGAGTAGCATTGTCTCAGAGAAAATATTTGTGGGGACGTAGGGTCTTAGTTCAGATTCAGACTGTCGAGAGAAAACAGGGGACACAAATAATCATCCAAGCGTTTCTTGAAGAGTTGCAAAGACGTCGCCTCCACGACTGACTGAGGGAGATCGTTCAATTTCTCCACTACCCTCTGCGTGAAAAATTCAGAACGAAGATTCAGCCTGGACATTATTGTCCGTAACTTCATCGAGTGACCACGAAGATTGGGTGAAAGGTGCCACTGAAACATGTCCTCAAATTTAAGTCCATGCTTAAGGCCATGTATTATCTTGTAGACGAGGATAAGATCACCACTTTTCTGCCTGTAACACAGAGGGAATAAATTAAGGCAATTCAGTCTGTCTGTGTAGGATTGGCTTTTTAGACCGTTTACCAGCTTTGTTGCACGCCGTTGTACTCGATCGAGGCATGCTTCGTCCTTTACTAGCCATGGCCGCCATGCTTGTATGCCATATTCTAAGTGGGGCCGAACCAAAGTGCCGTAAAGTGTCCCAAAAAGGTCTTGGTCAAAGTTAGCGAAAGCCCTTTTTATTGCATGCAGCACTCCCATGACGTTTTTTGCAGCCTTGTGGCACTGCAGTGTTGATTTCAGGTTGTTCTGTATCCAAACCCCGAGATCCTTCTGTGAAGATTCTGCGGGGAGCCTAACATCTTTCAGGTGATATGTCCTCAGACTCTCATTTGAATGAGAGTTGGTTGGACGCAGATGAAGGACGGCACACTTCTCCACATTGAAATCTAGAAGCCATTTCTTCGACCACGCTTGCAGTCGGTGCAGATTATCTTGAAGGGATCTCTGATCATTCGGACCCTTAATGACCTTCCAGAGCTTAACGTCGTCTGCGAACATTATTTTGCCGCAGTCGAGTTCCTGAAGGCTGTCGTTAACATAAAGGATGAAGAGCAATGGTCCCAGAACTGAGCCTTGAGGTACACCACTGGTCACGTTCACCCATTCTGGCAGCAGCGGCCCCATTTGTCGTTTCGTATCCTCCGGATAGTCCCGCTGAGACACATGAAAATCCGTCTACATCAGCTAGACCGAGAACTTCTCCTGTCCCACTGGGTGCTGTAAGGTCTACAGCTAAGTCACCCGTGGCTTGGCGTCAGAACGGTGAGACTGGAAAATTGAATCAGACTCCGACCCAAAAGATAGGTAGTACAGTTCCGTTTAGGGGTACGACGCCTTCTCTTAGATCTAACAAGTCTCTTCAGCCCAGCACGTCTACAAACCCCGCAGCTCCAATTATATCCCCGAATAATTATCTGTCCTGCGTGCCGGTTACTTATCAAAGCCCTACTATATATTCAGCAAATTCAGTTCAGTTCAGTTCAGTTTATTGAGGGAAATAGGCATAAGCCTTTGAGTACCCCATTTGCAACGTAAAAAATGTGTGATGTACAGATAGATGTTCTGGGCTGAAATAGTTCGAACACGCCCATAATGGTGGGACAAAATGAGAAGGAGTTACAGGGGTGAGCTCGACTTCTCATCGCTCTTGGTCATTTCGGAACATAAATATGTCCAGATTCTTCTTAAAAATTTGTAAAGATGGTGACATCACAACATCTGCGGGAAGCTCATTCCATGGTCTGACCACCCGAACCGCGAAGGAGAACTTTCGCACATCCAGCCGTGCCTGCTGAGTGCGCAGTTTTAACGGGTGACCTCGGAGGTTGGTCGTGGTAGCAAATTCAAAAAAGTCTTCAAAGGCCAGACTGCAATCCAACCCCTTTACAATGCGGAAGGCTTGCAAGAGATCCCCGCGAAGTTGCCTGTAACTCAAAGGAAAGAGGTTCAGATTTACTAGGCGGGTTGCATAAGGAAAGGAACTTTGACCCCTAACCATCTTCGTGGCTCTCCTCTGGACTTTTTTGAGGCAGTTTTGATCCACAACAGCCCACGGCCTCCAAGCTTCTATGCCGTACTCTAAATGCGGCCGGACGAATGTTCCGAATGTCTTAGAGAAAGCTTGTTCGTCAAAATCCATAAACGCACGCTTGATGGCGTACAGTACGGACATTGCGGTTTTTGCCACCCTCGAACAGTGGGCGGATGGTTTTAGGGAACTCGTTGTCAGCACACCGAGGTCCCTTTGGGCTTCGACCTCTTGTAGGGCTGCACCGCCCAGAAAGTAGCCTGTTGTGCTGGCGGATCTGACTGTGTTGCCTAGGCGAAGTATGCTACATTTGGCAACGTTGAACCGCAGGAGCCAGCGGTTTGACCACTCCTCCAACCGATTCAGGTTCATCTGCAGTCTGTCTTCGTCGGCAGGACCCCGAATTACACTCCATATCTTCATATCATCCGCAAACATTGCTACTTCACAGTCTAAATCTCGTCCACGTATATAAGGAACAAAATGGGTCCCAGAACTGAACCCTGGGGGACACCACTATCGACCATAGCCGGATCTGATTTTCCCCGACCGACGCACACAACCTGGTGTCGACCCACAAGGAAGTTTTCGATCCATTTAAGGAAGTTGCCACCGATCCCTATTTTTTTCAGCTGATGTAAGAGTCTTTGGTGTGGCACAGTGTCGAAAGCCTTCTGGAAGTCGATGAAGGCTATGTGGACCGCGTGCCTGTCGTCGAGAGCTCGGGTCCAGCTCTGGAGAGATTGCAGCAGGTTTTTCGTGCAGGATCTTCCTTTTCGGAACCCATGTTGGCATTTCGATAGCAGGCCGTGAACTTCCAGGAATTGCATCAGTTCAGTCTTTATGATCCTTTCCATAACTTTGCAGAGAATGCATGTCAAGCTTATGGGCCGGTAATTTGTCGTCGCTGCCCTGTTACCTCCTTTGTGTAGCGGAGTAATATGCGCCAGCTTCCAATCGACAGGAAGTGTTCCAGTGTCAAATGACGTTTGAAAGAGCATCGACAAAGGCACAGAGAGCTCACTGGCAAGTTCCTTCAGAAGCTTGGGTGGAATCTCGTCTGGTCCTGGCGACTTCGATTCGTTCAATGCCTCTAATTCTCTTCGGACAATGCCTTCTGAGAAGAGTATATCACTGACGCTTGGAGTCGGCAGTTCTTCTGTGGAGGGAGGAAGGAACCTTGCCTCGTTTGTGTAGACAGATTGGAAAAACCGTGAAAAATACGCAGCTTTATCCCTACTATCCGCGATCTCATCGCCATCAGTAGTCTTTATCAAAGGGATTTGATGCCTGTTCCTTGTAGTTCGTCGGAGGTAGCTGTAGAGCAATTTTGGGTTCTGCGTTGCTTTTTGTAGCAAGTTCTTCTCGAATTCCCGCCGCGTCTGCATTATCAGCTTCCTCAGTTTGTTCCTCTGTGTCTTGTAGGTGTTGAAGCATTCAGCTTGTTTAGTGACGCAGTATTTTCTCCCCAACTTGTGCTTCCTGTTGATTTCTTTCTTGAGGTTGCTATTTAGCCACCCAGGGCGTTTGTTCAGTCTTACACTAGTCAGTGGGCAGTGGTTGTTGATGAGCTGCAGAAGGACATTCTTGAACAGCTCCCAGTCATCGTTGGCACTTCCCGTAAACAAAGAGCCCCAGTCAAGACCGGATAAGTCTGCCCTCATCTGATTAAAGTCGCCCCTCCAAACATTACGCCTTTTGTGGTCTGGAGTATGTGAAATGGAGAATAACGAATAATCCCACATAAGCACTACGTGGTCACTTCGGCCAAGGGGCAGCATGGAGACGATCTCGTCTATGCTGTCTGGTGTTTTCGTAAAGACCAGATCCAGGCAGTTTGCCCTTTGTCCTTCACGTGTTCTCGTTGGGAACATTACATGTTGTGTGAGGCACGCATTTAATGTTTTGCTCAACAGGCGGTAATCGAATGCCGATTTTGGACCTGACGCTTGGAGGGTATTCCAGTTTGTTCCTGGTGCGTTGAAGTCGCCCATGATCATGATGTTAGGTCGACTGGAAAATTTCTCAAACTGCTCCAATAGTTGAGTGTCGGCGATTCGGTCTGTCCGAGGTGGTCGGTAGACAGTGAGGACATCGAGACACGGGGAACCGGTAGCCTTGATGGTCAACCAGATAGCTTCCGTACTGCACGCAAACTTGGTGGTGTTATCCGACACTTTCAGACCTTCATTCACATACACAACGATACCACCACCCTGACGATGTTGCCTGTCCCTCCGATAAATTTGGTATCCAGGCAAGGCTACTTCGTTATCGCTAATATTCCCGGAGAGCCAGGTCTCAGTTACTGCTAAAACATCTGGAGACAGCTCAACAAGGCAAAGTTTTAGTTCGTCTAGTTTCCATATGAGGCTTTGGGCATTCGTGTACAAGCACATCAGTTTAGCACCAGCCGAATTTCCCGTTGCATTTGTTACTGCTGTGAGCATTACTCCGTTATCGCGGACGTCGTGTTCTCTAGGCTCTTCCGTTACCTGATTGGTTCCATTTACAAGCATTATTTCAGTCAGATCACTGGACGCTACGGGCTCACTTGTGTTGGCGCCTTGCTCAGGTGGTTCAACGAAGGTGTCTGTTTTGGCTGAGTAGCTGTCGTCGTTCGTAGTATTACAGGCTGGTTCCACTGAAACGGCATATATTTTCGAACTACCTTCCCCTTGAAGATAGCCAGATTGTGTTCGCCATCCTTCAGTCTTGATTTTAACTCCAAGACAAGTTCCCGGCGTTTCAACCGTTCCGCTGGTGAATAGTCCGGTTGAAAAAAAAACCTGCTTGTGTGTGTTTCTGAGATCGGTTTTTTTGGAGAGGATAAACTTGATTTGCTCTTTGTTCTCCAGCATAATTTTGAGAGGGCGAGGTGGTTGTGCTACTGTCCTGTCTTCACTCCTTTTTCCTATCCGGAATGCTTTCAGAACCTTTATTTCCATGTCTGCCGGCAGTAAATGATTTAGCAGACCATGAAAAGAAGCAAGGTCCTCTGAGACACGGTCTTCAGGTCTGACTGCATTCGATTCTGACAAACCCTGAATAACCAGACACTGCTGGCGAGCATGGTCCTCCGTACTCTGTCTTTCCGGTGAATGCGCTGCATGTGGGCGAGGACGATTTACGGAGTCATCGCTTGGACGCACACTTTTACTGTCTACCGACTGTCCCGAGCAACCCATCAGGGCTGGCTGGGACTTCAGAATCCTGTCATGGCGTTTCCCTCTCCCCTCTACCCACGGGTTTACGTCTTCGCATTCAGCTACGTGCTCTGTAGTGCGCTCAGGGTGGTTGCCAGAACAAGAGGGCAAGAGTAGACTGGATGACCCAGGTATATCGTCTCCAGGCAGAACAGAAATCCCATCACTTACAGCAAGAGGCTTAGTTGAGATGGCTTCCGCGACAAGTAACTTTTTTGCGACATCGCTTAAGACATCGTGCGTGGGAATCGAGTCTCCCTTTATCGGCGGCTTCATTTTCATTGTCCTGTTGTTACCGGCGTCTGAGGTTTTGGCTGTTGAGTTGCTACTCGTGTTTGAAGGTTCCCCCAAGGCGATATTTTTGCGCGTTTTTTGCGTTTTGCTCTTCGTTTTTGGGGTTCTAACACTGGACACGTTCTGGCCGACTAGGGTCTGTTTCACGAAAGTCCTTAAATCAGCAAGCTCCTTTTCCAGTTGTTCTACTTTGATTTGAATATCTGCGCACCCACCACAAGGCTCGTCTTCGTACCTCACACTTTTTGCGGTATTTACGCTTTTTGCACGCTTTGCTGGTCGTTGGCTGGAGGCGAAGGTAGAGCGAGCACAGGTTCTGGATACGAAGGACAACTCACCGGACTGTTCTTCCAAAGAGGTGCCGTCGCTGGCCGTACTACTACAGTTGGCTTGCTGAGAATCCATAAACTTCGACGTGATATAATATGTATAATTTCGCTTTCGATGTTATAACGAATACGTCGCCTTATATATGATGAATTAAAGTGAGTATTCAAAACTCAATAAGCGAAAAAATACTTAAAATCCGGTAAATTTTGTTGAATTTAATCAGAAGCGACTTAGCCATTTCCAGGTCTCGTGGGACTTGAATAACTGCAGACCTTGAAGGATTTTGAGCGATTGGTTTTCTAGGCTGTATATCCGTAAATCGGTTGCGTATCCCGTTGCGTTGTCAGCTGAACCGTGCTGATAAACAAATTGCACTTAATCCAGGTTCCTGGCGAATTTCGATGCGTGAAAAAATATTCCAAAAATGCACAAAGTAATTCTGTACGTACGGTTCCAGTATCAATGTCAGAGACTGTAACTGTGGAATGGTAACCAAGTCGAAATTGTCCCAGTTGGAGCGCAGAATAATTCCGTCGTGCTCAGTTGGGCTCGGCGACAGTTGTTCATAATTCATACATTAATTGCCCTAAATCATTTATGCCCCAACCTAGTTCAGGCTTCCCTAAACTTAAGGCCAATTGCTCTCAGGTACGTCAACCTATCTCCTTTGACTTCCAATCTAGACCTGGTCTCCCACCATTTCAGTCTTTTTGTGGCCTACCCTCACCCATTAGCTCCTACTTTCCTTCTAGCCTCCCTCCTCCTCCCCTTCCTCCATTATTTAACTACCAACAAGTCTATCCATGTTCTAACTCCCCTAGCAATCCAATGTTTGAAAACTATATCCCCACCTCCTTTAGATCTCATAATCAGCCTTCTCTTGCTGACTCCCTGTACGTCAATAACTCTAAATTAACTGGTACTTATTTTCCAAGTGTCATTAATTCGCAGCTTACACATCCGCCTCCAAATTTTTTTTAAATACCGTCGAAAATAGCATTGCCGTTCGAAACACATTAGATATTATATTATTGAATGCCAGGTCTGTTATAAACAAGATGGCCCAAATCAGAGCCATTGCTCTGGAAATGACGCCTGTTGTTATATGTGCAAAAGAATCTTGGACCTACTCACTAATTCCTGACTCTGCCCTTCTCATAGATGACTTCGATATTTACCGCCAAGACCGCACGACTAGGCGTGGGGGTGGTTGTCTTCTTTATCTTAAATCCTACCTAAAGCACTCTCCCTATTACTTGGATGTTTCCTCATTCACGGGAAACTTCTGCTTTGCATCTGTTATTCTCTCGCCGCAAAGAAAGGCAATTATTGGCTGTATCTACAATCCCACAAATTCTTTAGCCAGTGATGATTCACAACTCCATGAAATCTTTAAATTAATTTCGGAAGCTGCTTTCGATGTTAAAATAATCACTGGGGATTTTAACCTTCCTGAAATTGACTGGGTTTCCAATAGCTGCCCACCCCGATTCCAGCCCTTTCAAGATATTGTCAATTTTTCTAATTGGTCCCAACTGGTGCGCTCTCCAAAAAGAGATAATCACATTTTAAATCTAATCTTTACCAATGACATTGCTCCTCTTTCTGTTGCTTTAAAAAAGAACCTCTTTGACAGTGACCACGTATTAATTCATTGTTGCCTACCGCTTGCCTTTTCAAAAAAGACAAGCGCCGTTCAGACTTTAATGAACTACGACTGCGTAGATAGCGACGTAATAAATAACTATATTAGATCTTTGGATTGGCGTGGCTTCCTCACTTGTAGCGATGTAACCATTCTTCGTGATGTCATGTCCAATGTTTCCAAGGACATTCTAGAGTTTGTGCCGCGTAGATATCTCAAGCCTAATTCTTCAGATTCCCTTGTTCCTCATTTTCTTCAGAACAGACTAAAAAAGTTGAGGCGACAACTGCGTGACCCATCCACTAGTTCCTTATCTGTTCAACTTAGAATCACAGAGATATTTGAGATGGCCTCAAGGATGCGCCAAGCGCGCGACAGGCAAAGAGAATTAATTGCTCTCAGTGGTTCGAACCCTGGCAAATCCGTCGCTAATATCTTCCGTCATCGGTCCTCCTCTAAGCGTGGTCATGAACTTCCACCCATGCTAAATGATTACAAAGTCTTCCTCACCGATGACACTGACAAGGCGGAGTTGTTTAGTGCTTTCTTTGCAAAACACCTTGCTACCGAGTCCGATCCGGTTCCTTTCTTTCGATCACTTTCAGATAGGACACTGAGTACAATTGATGTCTCCTCAGATCTCATTAAGAAACACATTAGCCGTTTGAAATACTCACACTGCTCAGGAACGGACGAGATTCCGAATTCGATTATTAAACAAGCGCCCAACCTTCCCATATTGCTTAGTCATTTTTTCTCTTTTTTTATAAAAAGGATTCTTTCCTGAAACATGGAAAACGTCAATTATCATTCCAGTTTTCAAGTCAGGATCTCGGTCCGATGTTAAGAACTATCGGGGCGTGCACAAAACGCCGTCTCTAACGAAACTTCTCGAAAGGATTATTTTCAATCACATTCTTGACTTCTGTCTAGCTAATCGGCTTCTGAGCTCTAGTCAGCATGGACTTTTACCTGAACGATCCTGCGAAACATGCCACTTGGCTTTTCTTAATCTAATCACTTCTCTTCGTAATGAGCGGCAGTCAGTGGTAGTTATTTACTTTGATCTTAGCAAAGCATTTGACAAGGTGCCCCATATACGTCTTTTAGTAAAATTGGAAGCTCTCGGCATCCGGCCGCCTCTACTCGATTTCATCAGGTCCTATCTGTCCAACCGATATCAGAAAGTCATGGTCGGTAATAGCTACTCCACACCACACTCAATCACTAGTGGCGTAATTCAAGGAACGGTTCTGGGTCCGCTACTCTTCCTTCTGTACATCAATGATATTTCGACTGAACTCGCAAATTCGCAAACTTTTACTTATGCCGATGACCTCAAGTGTGCTTACTCATACTCTAAGGACACCGCAAATGTTTGTGTTGAAAAAATAAATGCCGATTTACTACGCTTAAGCAGATGGGGTTCGACATGGCTGATGGAGTTTTCATCATCCAAGTGTAGTTTCATGTCTTTTGGTCCTACCAAACTTCCTGGTCCCATAATTTTTCAGAATAACCCACTCTCAGAATGTCTCACCATAAAGGACCTAGGTCTAAGTTATACAAATAAGCTTGCTTTATCACCTCATGCAGATAGAATCTCTGCCAAAGCCGCGCAGATATGTGGATTCATATCGCATAATGTTTTTTCTTCCAAAAATGAAGCTAAGACTTTATCAAATGTTTGTTCTTCCAGTCCTAGAATACTGCTCTCCTTTCTTCGGTTTAATGAACGCCTGCGACCGTAATAAAATCGAAAATGTTCAGAGGGTTTTCACCCGTAAACTGCTCTCTCAAGCTTCGTCCAGTATTTCTTATACTCAGAGATGTCAGCTGGCGAACATTAAGTTTTTGTGGGTTAGAAGACTCGAAGCTGGCCTTTGCTTCCTTTTTCGCATCAACTCTAGCTCCAGTCTTCCGCTCATTGACACTCTCACTCCGAGAGATCGGTCTTATGCCACGCGCAACTCCTGCATGGTGATTCCGCCGCCTCTTTGTACTACATCTAAGCGCTCTCTCTTCTTTGCGTCCAAAAATGCCTTCTTTTGGAATAATCTTCCGCCTGAAATTAGATTATCACCTAAGTTACTGGTATTCAAGTCGAAATTACGCAAACATCATACACCGGAAAGCATAAAGGCACTGTTAACGGTCTCATTCCCGAACACTCAGATTCTTGACTTCGAGAAGGGTCCTCCTGGGATTTAGTGGTAGATCTAGTGGAAACTCTTACTTATATCATTAGAAACCCCTGTTTTGAATTGGTTTCCAAATTCATTGCTCTCCTTCCCCCCCATGGCGACAATTTTCGCGGTTTTTGATGTCATCTCCCGCATTCCGACCTCATGCGGTCTGTCGACGCTCACGGCGGAACCCTCCGTATTCACTGTCTACTAGTAGTTCGGTCGTACCTCCCTTCCTCACTGCTCGGCTGAGCTCGAAGCGTGCTGTGGCCGATCGCATCTGGGTTCCTCTCGTCTGGCCTCTTTGACGCGGCGTACCAATCCGGCCCAGACGATCTCAGTTGTGAATACCTAATACAATGCCATTTGCAAGCCAGTCCTGTCTGACCCACATTCGTACCCCTCAAGGCTGAGATTTATTGCTACCCTGTCGATGACCGACAACATTCCGCTATATACCGCCACCTACAGGCCAGTCCTGCTCGCTTTTTTCTGTTATTATTTCTATTGAGGGTTTTTTTCTCCTGTAAAATTAATCCAATCATTTTTAACTTTTTGTAAGGAGTTTTTTTCACCCCTCAATCATCATGTTTCTTAATGGACTAATAATTCAGAAACTATGAATTGCATTTTGTAAAGATTCGGCCTACATCGTCTAAAACTCGCATGTAGATTTATTTTAACTTGCTTTGATGGGACCCCGACGGGTCTTTAATAAAAATTATCTATCTATTTGTCTATATCATCCCCGATACAGACACTTTGTTTCCGACCAAGTGGAAACGCCCTAATCCAGTTCAGAAGATCTCCCCGGATGCCGATGGTGCTCAATTTGTGAAGAAGACGTTGGTGCGGGACTGTGTCAAAAGCTTTGCGGAAATCGATGTATACGACATCGACCTCAAAACCCTCTTCTAGAACCCCGGTCCAGATCTCCAGACAAGCTAGCAGATTTGAGAGGCAGGAACGTCCTCTCCGGAAGCCATGTTGAAAATCCTGCGAGATGTTATTTTCTTCACAAAATTGCTGTATAGCGCTCTTTACTATAGCTTCCATCGTTTTGCAAGGGAGGCAAGTTAAGCTAATAGGCCTAAAGCTGCTTGCTGTCATCCTGCTACCTCCCTTATGCAATGGAACGAGGTTAGCTGTCTTCCACTGTGAGGGCAGCCTTCCTGTTCTCATTGACGGCTCAAAGAGAGTCGAAAGAGGCTTTGACAGCTCCGTTGATAGCTCCTTAAGTATTA